CATTCTGTTGTTTAACATAGGTTTCACTATCTGACTATCTGAACAGTTTATACATACGGTTTGTAGTTATCAATACTGTATAAAATGTTGTTTTTTTGTTATAAATTGTTAGATGATTTGGATATTTAGATAATTGAATATAATAAACCTACAATGTTAGCCTATGTTAAGAATTGTATTGACTTGTTGTGGTTTTTGTCATTGTCACATCCGTGTTATTTGTGCCGTGTGGCGGCTGTAAAAAGTCTCCCCGTACATTTAATCAATGATGTTATATTTTCGATCCTTGAAGATCGTTCAGCACGACATTATTGTTGTGTATACATTTTATATGGTAGTTTTAGTTTCTTGAATTTGGACTTTTCAATTTGGGTGGTTCCAGTATTCCTACTTGAATACTGTATAATCACCCTTAGGATATGTTGCCTGCTTTTTAAATTTGTCTTTTGAAGTCTTATCTGTGATATGCAGGCTTCATAACCTCAGATCCCCTTTCAAAATTCCATTTTATTTAGTTCCGCCCATTGTTTTCTCGTTTAGGGCACACGCTTTCTTTTACTTGGGGACCATACGCCGCTTTTCATGGAATGACACTCCTGTGTCACATTGAAGGTTCCATGATAACCGCCATATGAACACATCTGCGGATGTTTCTAAATTCAAAATTTCACCATTTTAAATGTTGAATTCTGCTTAAGCCGGTGCTAAGGGGCGTGGACGGTAACTTGCAATTTCCATTACCGTCCATGAACAGGCTCAATCAAACCGAGCCTGCAACATTTTACAATTTGCCGTGTTGGGCTTTCTTTAGGGATTCTGTTTTTCACTATTTGATCAGGTTAAAAATGCATAAGGAATCCTTTAGATTTGCAGTTAAATGCAAGATTACGGAGTTAAGTAACAAGGGGTATTTACCTCTTTGAATCGTTTATAATACCAAAAAAAAAAGTAACAAATTCGGTCCAATTAATGTTTTAATACTCTTGCAAACAATTTATACCGATCTCTTAATGTTATGATGTAAAGATTTTCCGGTGGATATATATTAACAGGTCCCATTGGTAGCAAATCTTGCCATTGCTGAACAAAATACTGAACTATGATACCTGAAACAATTAAGTTATGTTTCAATTTTATATTCTTGCCGCATTCACAATTGTCTGGCTATTCGACAACCCTGCTGATTGAGGAAGACATCAGACGCCCCTCAGTGCACTATTTCAGGCATGTCTTATGCGGGATTCTTACCTTAACCTGTGTGCAAAAACAATTACAGCTTGTACATGTAGTTTAAACACTTCCTCATTTCATTTATGAAAAAATCTGTGTTATAAAACTTGTAACTTTTTTAGGGTCAAATGGATTTGTTTTTAAAGGTTTGTCTTACCAGCAACTAAATTTAATACAAGCATACACGCTGTAGGATGCTATTCCAAATTTCGAAAGTAATTGAGTTTTCAAAAGTTCTTTTAAACCAATTACCATTTGGCATTAGAAGAATACAAATTTGAATCTGTTAACCAATACAATTGACACATTTGTAACAGTTTGTGCTTAACCACAACGCGCAATGTCTTCCCTCCGAGGCTATATGTCAATTTAAATTTTTGTGAATTGGAACATTTCCGAGAAGATCTGGGAACTGACTATGACAGATAATCAATTCTCACAGACAAATTGCAAGCTTAAGAACTTTTCATTTAAACATATTGATTTCTCTTATCTACCATGTTAAACATTTTGACAAACTTTATAACCTTTCTGTGAAGTGAATATACACATTTAAATACATTTGATGACAGTGTCTTTACTTGTGTGAAATCTGTGTATATAAGTATTTTATAATACTGCACGTTTGTAACGTCATTTTTCATTGGATAATCGTGACGTTTATATAGTTTTATATACACAGCTGCTGTAAATTTGTAAAGAAATCTCACTTTTATCTCTAAAAAAGGAAGTTTGCAGTATTATAAATTCGTTATAAAGACTGTTGACAGGTTATATGGCCGAATATAAACGGTTGTTTGCAATATAACCCTCACATGGCGGCTCGTTATATTTACAAACAACAATTTATATAGGGCCATATAACCTGTCAACAATCTTCATAACCAAACGTTGGAATGGCACGTATGTCCGTGTTAATGTATTGTGATTTTAATGACATGGAACAACCGCGCTTGTTCAGCAGAATATCATAAATTATCATAATCATGTCGTTTAGTCATGCGTAAAACAAGATGTTTGCTTTATCATTTGATACATGTACAGACACAAAAATATATTGTGAGGGGCCACCATTTCCAAAAAGATATGTAATAATGTAATACAATTAAATTATGATAAATCTTTATCTATAGTTTGGCATTCAAAGAGTAATATTGATAACTGGCGATGTGTATAATTTTCGGATATTATTAGTTAGACAGACTTTGACAGGTTATACGGCCCTATATAAACGGAATTGCAAACGACAGCAGCCATGTATATAATTTATATAAACGTCACAAAAGTGTCCAATAAAAAGGGACGTGACAAACTTGAAGTATTATAAATATAAAGAAACAAGTATTATGTCGCGTAAAACTAATGTGCCAAAAGATTTTTTTTTTTTAAAATACATAGTAGTTTACAAAAACATGTTTATTCAAAGCGTGTACTTACATAGGAAAATGCATAGAGAAAATAAAAATATCGTAATTGTATGACATGTTGGAAAAGTAAACATTGATTTTGCATAATTCATTTTGATGTTTTGAATAAACATTGTTTTTTTTTTGTCAATATGTGTGCCTATCTAGAATTGATTTTGACACAAACAAATTACTATTCAAATCTAGTATATGAATTGTGCGAACATGTCATTTTATAGTTGTTTGCTGGATTGGCAATGATTATAGAAGTCTGGTTTATAAATGTGCTTGTAATGCGCTATTGTGGTGTCTGTTTTTGGTAGTTTTGGCAGTGTATCATACTTAATTAAAGAAGCGGTGCTATACAGGGCGAGACAATGTCTGAGTGATCAGCCAGTCATACATTTGTACGCAATGGCATTCGTAAGAATTGTTTTTAAAACAATACAACTTTTTGATTATTTTATTTTCCTATTAATCAACTATATATTCCTTTTGGTTTAAATGAGATTGCTTGAAATTCATTTTGTCAATTTTGTCATGGATTATTTTATTTTTCTATTAATCTACTATATATTCCTTTTGGTTTAAATGAGATTGCTTGAAATTCATTTTGTCACAAATGGAAAGGCCGCCGTCTGATTTAACGATTTTTACAGCATCGGCTGTTTTGACGATCTTGTGGACGCCGGGCGATTATTAATATAATACCCTGCGTTGTCATGAATGAAACGATAGCCGGGCGATTTTTGTCGAAATGATGACAGCATTTAAAGGACCGGGCGATCACCGCCCGGTGTACGGAAGGTGTCAGTGCGATTAAAAAATGGATCGGACCGTCGCCGCACGGGCACCGGCCAAATGCTTGTCATTTTAAGATATTCTTTTAATGATAAGTCACTTGTTTATATGCAAGGAAAGTCATGGAGAATGCCAAGGAAACGGTCAGTCAGGCTGACCCTGAGCACTAAAAGGCCAGTAATGACGAGGCCATAGAAGGTTATTATTAAGAACTTGAATAAAAATGTAAGGAAAATAGCATTTTGTCTACAATCCGGGTGATCGTGACTATAAAAACAAAGAATATCACGATTCAGAACTTGCCGATTTTGCAACTGTTTTCAGTTACAACAGAATCAAGCTGCCCGGTCACCGGACGACAAAACGATAACTACCATGTGCATGTACATAAATAGGAGATAATCGCTCGCCTACTAGTGTCTAATCGGGCTCCGGGTTGGATCCGGGCGAAATCCGCCCGGATGCTTTTAAAATTTGATAGTGACTTTGCATAAAGACTAATATAGATGTTGAATCATTGAAAGTTAAAACTCTTTCTGCCATGCGTTTGAATACTTACCGATTTTTTTTATTTAAAGATATTTTGTTCCTATTATTATCATGTTTTTCATAAAAATCGTTCAAAAGTTGCCAGCAAGAATTATATTGAATATTTTAAATCTGGAATTGAATGAATATTACTGCTACACAGAAAAAAATGTGTAGACCTATGTCTACGATTGTGAAGGTTCCACAAAAACAATCAAATTGCAATAACGAAATAGGCATGAAAGCATTTTTACCACATATTTATTGGTTATTTAGTTTATAAACATGTCAGCATTCTTTGTCTTCATACAATGTAAATGTAGAAATAAATACCATGATAACTACATGAAATAAACAGATTTTGTGAACGGATTCGAAAGTGTTTCAGTAAGTTAACAGCTTCCAACACTATCGAACTAAAATAAATTCTTATAAACTGAAACCACTGAAGAGACCCACAAGAAAATAAAAAACAATGAATAGGAATATTAGAAATGTGTTGTTCTATCCGGCTAACATTATACAGACTTGGTCTTACGTTTTGAGCTCTGTCTCTAATCCCAGGATTTTAATTGGTCGGTGTTCATTCTGTTATGAACAATCATATACCTTAGATATGAGAACGAGCTACAAATTGTTGTAAAACCTCTGATCCAGACTTTAATATATCAAAAAGCAGTTTCATGGACTTACATAATTCATTATGTAAATTGTTAAAAAAAGAAACGATTGATGTTAGTTTCTGTTATTAAAGTACACATAATACATTAGGTATTATATAATAATTCAAGCGTAGACCTCATTTGAATTATAGAGTATATTTGCTTACGCTTTTAAAACTTATTTTTCCATATTTATTGCAGAGAAAATAAAACGGACCCATTTTTATTTCCATTCAATAACATTTACTGAAACTAAATAAATCTTTCATTTGGTTTATTTTACTAAAAGGAAATCGGAGCATAAGTGGCAAAAGTACATAAATGTTTAACACTTGCATATCTTTGTATCTTTGTAACAATGCATCGTTTCTTTTTTCCGTCAATGAATCTAAAACAAGGATAACGCAGAGTGTTTTATGCTTTAAATGAAATCCAGGTGTCGAACCAGGAAGCAGGATAATGATGTAATATAAATGACACGTTTTCAAAGCGTTGGAACTAAAGTAATTTTGTCTGCGTCCGTATATTTTATTCAAAGTAAAGGAGGATTTACAGCGTTTTTAAAAAGACAGATATGGTAAGATACTATTAATTTTTCAAAAACATTTATTTTTAGCTTTAACGCTACCCATTTTACTAGGGACCATAACTCGCTATTTAATAATTGAATTGCACATAGTTATTTTACATGTCAAATTCACACGAACAGTTCAATGAATTACCGTACGGGACATATCTGTGGATGTTTCCGACTGAAAATTCCATTAATTGTTCGTTTGAATAATGAATACTTATGGTGACTGATTTGTGCCAATTGGTGTTTTCGTCCCGCTAACCCCCGAGCGAAAAGCAAAAAAAACTTTATAATGGCCAAGGCGCGGAGCGAAAACACACTTATAAGCACGGAGCGGGGCCAAGTTAAATAAATAAAAGTTCCACCAGCGGGGGCGCGGAGCGAGATTTAAGTAATTAAACGGAAGGGTCGAGGAGCGAAAACACGCTAATTATCGGGGGAACGGAAATAAAACGTCGCCGGTGCCTCCGCTTATAAGCGTTTTTTTCGCTCCGCTTTCCCGCCATTTTAACTTGTTAATTCTCGACTTTTTGTTTTGAGGGGTCGCGGGGCGAAAGCATGAATGGCACGAATCAGCCACAATAAATATTGCTTCAGCTGATGATTTAATGGGTATATTGTGGCCTCTACTTAAAAATATTCTATCAAACCGTACCGTCATCAGTTATAGTTTTGTCGTTTTTAAATTAGCGTTCTATTAGGAATTTTTTTCTTTTCGATTGCAATGCACGATTCAAATGATAAAGATGCTTTAATTCATACTATATTATTAATGTCACCTGGCGGTTAATTAATTTCATCCTTGTAAACATCTTTAAAATTTTTATGAGATTCCGTTATTTCATTGCCTTCTAGAGGTCACTTTTTTCCAGATTATTGTTTACTTCTGCTTTAATTGTGCTATATCAAGTTGATCATCAATTTCATTTAACTTCAAATGTTATAAAGGAGTTCCTTACTTTAAAACAAATACAAATTGCGAAGTATTACAAATGATGCTTAAAAATTTCTTATTATTAAAGCTATGTTTATAGTTCAAATGACGTCACGTAAAAGTGTATATCGTCTAGTGTAATATCGTTTTAATGAAACGGCTTAATTACACTCCTGAGCAGCTGATTATGTGATAAACTAATGTAATTATTGTGTGTACATTTTTTTTATTTCAGAATGTGACTGGTTGTGTCGTATTAATTACAATTTTGTTCATATGTAACAGTTGCATGTGCTGTAAAAGAAAAAGACGAGAAAACAAGAGCACGAGAAGAAGTGGACAAAAGTCATATCTAGAAATTTTAGAAATTTTGAAAGAAGAAGAAAGAATGAGAAAACACCCCTACAATAGATACTGCCCATCTCATTCTAAGTGTAGTGTTGGTAAAAGAAGCATTCAGGTAATTTTTGTTGCATGTATTTATGGCATACCTGTAAAAGATATATTCAATAAAACCTTTTTAAACACATAGATGATATTTTTTTGTAGTGCAAATGAATCTTATTTAATTTAGTGAACTTAAAAAGCTCACGAGTTCATTTGTATTTGTATGTTGGATAATTTACTTGCCTCTCCGGTTAATAAGTGTCGTTACTTAAAGCAGCATGTCTCCACATTCATGCTTATTTTCTTGAACATTTTGAAAATGCATTTAAAAGTAAAATATTGTGAAGTGAACAAAGAAAGTAAATTACACATTGCAAACGGCACTCATAACCCATGTTAATTAACAAAAAGAGGTAAAAACATATATAAAAATACCTATTACTGCGTTCGTAACCCAGTAGATTATAATTATATTACAGTGATTAATACTGCGAAATCAGTCATTAATCGCCTTTAACATGTAAATAATTTATTAAATATTAAAACTATTTACTTTTTTTAATACATTTATTTTAAAATTGAAATTATTGAAATATGTTGGCTTATCTGGAGTTGTGCAGCTTTATTGTACTCTTTACATTACAGTAATTGCTCATAAGATACTTATTAATACTCAATGTCAACAGGAGGAGTGCTATTATCGGACTGTAATATATCTTGATTTAAGCATAAATTTAAAAGAATATTTTCAGTGATCAATTAATGTATTTATTATGATTGCACTTTTAGTTATTAATCGCTTTCAGCTGCTTAATATTGCTTCAAACAGGCCTTATCATGTCTGAATAAAGAAAATGTAATGTACCGCATGGAAAATGTGTTGTAGAATTGAAAAGTGTGGAATTATGCTTACAATTTAATGAATAAAATGCAAATTCGTAATATACTGAAAGCATAAAATACAGTATTTTTTTCTGCACTTAAATGACAACAAATTCAATAGGAGTACCTATATCTTTTCGATGCATTTTTGTCTTCAGGATGATGAGACGGACTTCTTTGGAGATCCCTGTGACTTTAACACTTATGACATCGATGAAAATGGAGAAATATCATTGGATGAACTGTTGGCTATTTCTGGAAATAACGATGAAAGCAAACGTCTCTTTCTGAGTTTAAATAATGGAAAAGGTAAGGTTTTTTCCACAAAGTTTTGGCTCAAATTTTAATGTTAAAAATAGCAGTACTCGTAAATACAATGGAAGTTGTATTGAGGTTTTTCCACTGAGGTTTTTCTTGACATTATGGAACATGAAATGATTTTTCAAGATTTATGTTCAATTTGATGTAGGTCTAGACCAATTGATTGTGTCCAAAATTTTCGGGCTAAGAAAAAAAAAGATTTTAAAAACATTTCTGAGTACGTTTCAGAGTTATTTTTACATAATCATTTTATTTTAAGCTGATCTATGTAAGAAAATGAATTTTATGTTAGGAAGTTTTTGGACATCAGTGGAGTTCCTTGATTTAATAATTAGGCGATAAGAAATCATGTTTCCAAACATCATCATGAACTTGTTTATTATTTATACCTACATTCATATATTTTTAGATAGCTCAAACTTTTCCATGGTATAATTTGTGTTGTATATACAATGTATAAGCCAACAAATTTGTAAAGTTATCTGTTATATAAATTTATATACACTTATGCTGCAGTCAATACATTATCAACGTATACAATTTTACATATGTCATATTTCAGAAGACGGGGTCATTACCTTAAGTGAGTTCACTGAAGCTGCACCAAAGTACATTAAAGAGTGTATTGAATCTGATAAGAAGAACTGAATTAGAAATTATAAGTTTTCATTCCACGTGTGATTGTCATTCACTGAGAAAAAGTTGTTTGCTGTCGCTCTTGGTGCATGTTACTATTTATTAAGGGTCCTTCCTTTATTGTATTCGGCATAATTTTATGATATGTGACTTCAAAATACCATAACGATATGTTCAAGACCTGCCAAGCATATTTTGCTGATTTATTTTTCCTTACGACCTTATCCTTATTGGTTCAATTGTTTAAAAATTACCCTACTTGATTTATATGATTTATATGTCGTAAGTAAAATGCGAGTATATTAATGCCACTCTTCCATAGATATACACGACTATACACCCATTATACAATGTGATAAGAAACAGAAAGTATTACATACTTTTATTTATTTCGTATACTCATTTCATATCAACATCGGTAATTTACGATGGTCTTTCAAATGGTAGTACAAATACTAGAAAACATTTTCTTCGTCACCTGCTGATTTGCAGCCAGGCTTTATTGCTTATCAAAGACTAACTCAACATTTTCAACTTCCCTACAATAACATGAAATCATGTATAATATAATGTTATAATATATTTGGAATAAACTTTGTATTTTGCTTTGTCCTGAAGAAAAGTTTATATTACACTTTTCGTATAATTATGTAATAATCTATTACGTTTATGTTGTTTTTATTTGTTATGATTTTGACATATATAGATACAAAGCTATAATTCAGAATTACCAACTTATTTTGGAATTAATATTTCGTTAATTTAATCGGGTTTGTGTTTTTATTGTGAATCCTAAATGGTACGTTGTCTAGTTCCAAGTGATTCCGTAGCCAAGGGTAGGACGTGAAGTGGTTGCACACTTGGTTTAAGCAAGATAATAGGTTACAAACTTGACAAAATTACGGAAGCAGCACCGAGGGGACATTCCAATTTTATTTTATTTTCCTATGTCGTGGCCACGATATATAACTCAGAAAAAGACGAAAAACAAAACTTGCTATCTCGTTGCAAAGAGTTATAACTAAGAAAAAAATATTTTGCTATCTCGTGGACCGATCAGATGAACACAATTATGTCATCTAAGTCGTGGTAACGAGTTAGCTGACCAGTGAAATCGAAAATGCGCTTGTTGATTTCGGAGAGAGGAGACATACTTGCCAAGATGGCGGCCTATAGAACGATTTCATGGCAACGAGATAGAGATTTTTCTTTTCTGAGTATATAACTCTTGCCGCGAGATAGCAAGTTTTGTTGTTTGTTTTCTCGTGAGTTATATCTCGTGGCCACGAGATAGGGATTTATTTCTTAGTTGTATCTCGCGGGAACGAGATAGCATTTTGTTTTTCGTTTTTTTCTGAGTTATCTCTCGTGGTCAAGAGATAGCGATTTTTTCTGAGTTATATCTCGTGGCCACGAGATAGCATTTTTTTCTGAGTTATATCTCGTGGCCACAAATAAAATCGGAATGTCCCCTCTGTGCTTCCGTACAAAATGGCTACTTAGTCATAAATATTTACAGCAATCGCAAAAATTGTCTTCAAGTAAGTGGGTCTATATGTTATTAATATGCCTATTCCTTAAAGCTATGTTTATGGCCCCCTCGCTTTAAGGAACGGCAAATATGCATATTGAAAGAATTCTTGCGTGCGGTAAAATAGAGTTAACTGAATAATTTTATGTTTGTGTGTATGATGCAAGGTCTACAAAATAAAAAATAAAGCAGTGAGCAACTATATATAATTATTGATATGGAATTATAATCGTTAAAACCATGACGTCCTATGACGGATAATTCAAGCTTTAAGATGATGTGTAAAATATCCGGTTACCACGTTTCCATATAGTATAAAGCGATGGAACGAAAAATTACACAATCACTTGTTTAAGGTTAAATGGATTTGTTTTTGAAGGTTTGTCTTACCAGCAACTGATTTTAGTATTAGCATACAAGCTTTAGGATGCTATTTCAAATTTCGAAAGTAATTGAGTTTTCAAAATGTTTTTTAAACCAATAACCATTTGGCATTTGGCATTAGAAGAATACAAATTTGAATCTGTTAACCAATACAATTGACATTTGTAACAGTTTGTGCTAAACCACAACGCGCAATGTCTTCCCTCCGAGGCTATATGTCAATTTAAATTTTTGTGAATTGGAACATTTCCGAGAAGATCTGGGAACTGACTATGACAGATAATCAATTCTCACAGACAAATTGCAAGCTTAAGAACTTTTCATTTAAACATATTGATTTCTCTTATCTACCATGTTTAACATTTTGACAGACTTTATAACTTAAAAGTTTCTTCCTTTCGATGAAGTAAATATACAATTTTAAATACATTTGATTACAGTGTCTTAACTTGTGTGAAATCTATGTATATAAGTATTACATGTTGATTTGTTAAATGTCGGAATGACAGTATATCGCTGTTAATGTATTTGTAATTTAAAAAAGCGCGTGACACGTGTTAAATAAATAAATGACATGGAACAACCGCGCTTATTCTGCAGAATATCATAAATTATCATAATCATGTCGTTTGGTCATGCACAAAACAACATGTATGCTTTATCATTTGATACATATACACAAACAAAAAAGATGTTGTGAAGGTCCACCGTTTCCAAAATAGATATGTAATAAAGTACTAATACAATTAAGTTATGATAAATCTTTATCTATAGTTTGGCATTTAAGGCATACAATCACATACAATCAAAGAGTAATATTGATGACTGGCGATGTGTATAATTTTTGGATTTAATTAGTTAAACAGACTTTGACAGGTTAGATGGCCCTATATAGTCTGATTTGCAAACGACAGCAGCCATTTATATAATTTATATAAACGACCAATCAAAACCGACGCGACAAACTTTTAGTATTATAAAAATGAACAAACAGGTACAATGTCGCTTTACACTAATGTACCAAAGATGTTTTTTTGGAATAAAATAAACAATATTTTGAATAGAATACATACAAGTTTACAAAACCATGTTTATTCAAAGCATGTACTTACTTACATTGAAAAAAACATAAAGAAAATGAAAATACGGTAATTATATGACAAAAAATGTTTTTGCTTATTCGTGGGGCATATTTATTTAAACATAGTTTTATTTGTCAAGATGTTTGCCTATCTATAATTGAATTTGACACAAACAAATGACTGACTATTCAAATCAAGTACATTGTATGTGAATTGTGCGAACATGTCATTTTATAGTTGTTTGCTGGATTGGCAATGATTATAGAAGTCTGGTTCATAAATGTGCTTATAATGCGCTATTGTGGTGTCTGTTATTGGTAATATTGGCAGTGTATCATACTTAATTAAAGAAACGGTGCTATACAGGGCGGGACAATGTCTGGATCATAAGCAAGTCATTTGTACGCACAGCTGGCACTTGTAAGGATTTATTAAAAATAATAATACTCATTTTTATGTTGTGTCTGTATTTTTCTATTAAGCTATATATTATTTTGGTTAAGATAAAATTGCGTAAATTTTCAATTTGTCTGAGTCTTCGCCAAGCTGTTAAAATGATTTATCTGTGCTTTTTTGGACGTATATACATGCATTTTAGCAACAGAATGTTAATACATTTGTATTCATATTTCGAGGTGTTAAACTTGCAAACAATTTTTCCTATCTATGCTTAAAGGTTTTAATTAGTTAAAAAATTTAACAAAATATGCTTAGATTATGATTCTTATATAGATGTGACAACAACAACACAACATACAGAAGGAAATTAAAACAATAATATAATTATGAGTGATAAAACAACGCAGTGTGGTGTATCAGTATTGGCTAAAATTACTTGATTCATCATGTTCTCATGGACACTTATCTATTTATTGAAGTGAATATTCTGGTTCAAAATGCCGGATGAAATGTTTATATTTATGACATCATTTTGGAAAGAAAACAATAACATCTTACTGTATGCAACGGAACTGCAATCGTCTGCTTTTTACGATTCTATATTGCCGTTTCAACGGCAATACCATAAAATTTGCAAGATTGATTCACATAAAAGAAATCTCATTCACTTTCAACCTTTGACCTATGCTACGTTCCTCTTGTCCAAATATGAAACATTGATCAGTTGCAAAACGCTACAATAAATATGCATTGTTAACACTTAAGAGGTATAGTTTAAATGTCATTATTTTTTATCTTATATTCATCAAACTTTTCAAATTTTTCGAGCCTGCAAACTTTTCAATTTTGCCGTTTTAGGCGTTATTTAAGGGTTCTGTTTTTCTATATTTCTATATATGTTAATTTTTATATGTTTTCTATAAATGATGTCATGGATGAGTCAAGGAAAAAAAACTTGTTTATATTCTAAATTGTTACGATTGTTTTCCACAAGGAAAAAGATAACGAGGAAAAAAGGAAACTTTAAAAGTGTTCTATTTTTAAATATATCTTATTGGTCCACTTCAAACCGTGAAGAAGGATAATGAAATTCTATAAATGAAACGTTTTCAAAGTGTATCTACAAAAGAATTTAGTCTCCGTGTGTGTATTTTATTCACAATTTAAGTAAACGTTAAGACTGAATTGTTTACACAAAACTAAAAAGGCAACCATGGTAAGTGACTTGTAGTTTGCTTTTGTTTTCTTAAATCAAAATTGTTTCTTTTACTTAACGCATCTCTTTTAATTGGGGACCATAAGCTGTTTTCAAAGAACTGCACTTGTTGGTCCCAATGAAGGCAAAATGACCACCGCCTTGAGAACAAACCTATGATTGTTTCCAAATTTAATATTTCACCTTTTCTCAAGTAATTGCTTTAGGCTTGTATTTACAATATACCACTACCGTCCATGAACAGGCTCAATAAAACCGGATCCTTATTTTGTTAGTTCACCCTTTAAATGCAATCTACGATTTAATTGATAAAGCTGTTTCGTTTAATATACTATCCACAGTCTTACTTCAAGGAGGTCTGTCTATTACAAATACATTAAACGCATTTAAATGTGAAAATTTATGCTTGCAAATTGAGCTAGATCACGTCGATTATAACGTATCTTAGTTGAAATACTTATTAGTTTTGTTTCCTTATTTTAAAACAGATGAATATTGATAAGCAGTTCAAATGTTGTTCTTTTAGATTTGTTTAGTTTTTAAAACTTTTATGTATATCTATGTCCAGGCTTATTATTTACCAGATCATTTTTCTTTTTAAAGTATACTACTTAAAACTCTACAAAATACCCTTGCATAACTATAAGTTGGAATATTAATCATACCTATGTTATGGTCGGGTATACTTTGTTTCATTTCAGCAGATAACGTGTTTATTTGTAGTATTAACAATCTTTTTGACTCACTGTATGTGTTGTAATATGAGTCATAACCGTATTGATCCTACTAATTGTCCTTGCCGTTATTGGGAGTGTAGAAGACAACCTCATTGCCGACATAAGAGAAGCGTTCAGGTAATATCAGTATCTGCTTTTTGTTCAGCTATAAATGGCATAAACGCGTAAGTTCAATTAAATTAACACTTTCCAGATTAGCTTAAGGTCTTCAGCGTACCGGTTTTTATTCGTTATCAGGACGGATACGCTGAAGACAACGCAGTAGGGAAGGTCTACCACTGATCGTGCAAGGAATCTTGCATGCTCGTATTCATTCATGTAGAATGCCATGGAGTAAAGTGAAAAGTGTTCTTATAAAACAATATATAATCTATGAATAAGCCAAGTATGCACATATAAAAAGCTTACTTCGAACATAAACAGCCTAGTAATTTCCGAAAAGTAAAGTTTGCAGCACTTTGCTGTCATCTTGCCGAGAAATGCTAGATCACGTGATTACGAAATTGACCTCTACGGGTTAATTTGCATGGATGTTGTTCTGTTTTTTGTTTGTTTTTTTTTCTCTCAAAAGATATTAAATAAAGGTGATTTTCTGACTATTGATATTGTAAAAGTACCAAAGAAAAAAACTGTAAACTTGATTTGGTAATAATATTTAAATCATGTCAAGAAGCATGCTCCAATATATTTATATATGTTTGAGCGAATTTTGTCAAAGAGGTTCTCACTTAATTTGTAAGTGTCATGGCCGACTTAGGTCACAAGGAATAATTCTGGGAAAGGGGATTTGCAAATTAAAATGAGGTTAAACAAATGCACGTTATACTGGCTTTCACAAAACTTTAGTGCTGCAACAGATGAAAGAAAAAACTGTTAAAAAGCGGCACGCATATAATCTTTTGAACGCAAAACTATTTTACGATACAATATTTCTGTTCAATATGACGATTCATACAATAAGAGTTATATTTCTTCGATGCATTTTTGGCTTCAGGATGATGAGACGGACATCTTTACGGATCTCTGTAATTTTAACACTTATGACATCGATGAAAATGGAGAGATATCATTGGATGAGCTATTAGCTATTTCTGGAAGAAGCGATGAAAGCCAGCGTCTCTTTCTGAGTTTAGATAATGAGAAAGGTTATTCTTTTCACAGTTTGGCACCAATATGCAGTTAAATTTAAATATCAGCGTATAATACGATGAACATTTAGGTTTCCACACATCTTAGGAATATGGTGTATTATCTATATCTTTATTCATACTATCTAACGTTCCGTGACATCATTAATGTTGTGTATATTAGCCAACAAATTTAAAAAAAATCATCTGTTATTTTAATCTTAATAGTCGTATACTGCAGTCTTTAAATTTTCAACATTCACCATTGGACATTATGTCATATTTCAGAAGACGGGGTCATTACCTTAATCGAGTTCACTGCGGCTGCACCAATGTACATCAAAGGGTGTAAGGAATCTGATAAGGTCAACTAAATTATTTGGTTGGACATAATGATAATCATATGGCGTGTAATTGGTTATCATTTAACAGACAAACAGTTTGCTGCTGTTGCTCTTTGTACAATTTACCTTTTACTTCGTACCGTTGCTTATTGCGTGCCTAAAACAATATCATAAAGATGTGTACCAGACTTGTGAAGCACATTGGAGGAAATAATCTAAGTCAAGACTATGAATTCATTATTAAAATGCAATAATATTAGTATTGATTTTAATAACTATGCCTCTGGAATCAAATAAATCTTTTTTTCACGCACAAATCATTTGTGAAATGTATTCTTTATTACATACTACAGTATGAATGCGGCATGCTTTAAAACAAACATCAAGCCGTCTTTGGATTTTAACTTTAACATAAAAGTGCAGCTAAATAATTTGAACAGGAAGAAAATCTGTTTTTTCAGCCGCATATTTTATAACAACAATCAAAAGCAAATCAAACAGTTAATACTGTCCTAGGATGATAATTTGGTCTTAACGGTACATGGAAAAGTCCAAAAACGGGGTTATCTGGAATTTTATCCGATATCGTAAAAGTAAACACTTACATATACTATATAGCATTATTCTTACAGTATCATTGGTGTATTACCGTTATGGCTTTGCCGTTAGATCGAAGTTATTGTAATTTTTAGTGTTTTGTCCTCATAGGTTCGAACCCCACGTGGTGCCATTTTATAACCACAGTTTTTTCCTTCTTGCTCTGTTTTTTTATCATTATTATTTATTTATTTTTCGTTTTCCTTTTTGATTTCTTCTTATAATATATGGTTTATAGTATATATTTATTTTTTGTTTCTATTCTATATTTTTGTATTTTTGATCGCAGTGTAATAAAATATTCGATCTTATAGTCATGTATGTATATGAAAAAAAAACGGTCAAACTTGTTTTTCTGGACAATTGACAGTTCTGAGGTAAAAAAACGTGTCTTACTAGTAGTCGAACTTCTGCCTGTACAGGTAAAACACATTACTGTCACGGTTGCTCTACCTACTGCGCTAACAAGACATATGACAAGTAAAATGGTTTCCTGCGGGGAACATTTTTAATGATATAAAGATATTTCATTTACTTATTTTCAACATTGTTTGGGGGGGGGGATAAATAAACGTTTGTATCAGGAATATAGTTGACAATAATCGATCAATATAGAAGAAGGTCTTTGGAAACTGGTGACCGTTGATGACCGGAGAAGGTCGAACATAAAACAATTATTTCTTTTTTAGAAAATGATTAAATAGGCCTACCATTTAATGAATAATTCCGAGCAAAAAAAAGAAACATTGAATAATTTTCAAACACATCATTCAAGTTTTTCCACCTTAAACGGTAACATAATTATAGAAAATTAAAAATATCACGTAACAGTTTTTTGTTCTTAATAAGGTGTAATTCTGACTTATTCCCTAGAGGATTATCCGTAACGTACCGGCAAACGGTATTTAGCCAGGTTTTCGAAAAGGTCAATTAACCAATCATGTGCGGTTTACAGATCACATGCTCCTCCATGTACCGAAAACAGGTCACGTGCTCCTCCATGCCTCAAAAGTAAAACGCGTACCAATACCCTGCGGTCTCCAGACCGCAGGGAATAACATGCAGTTTTATTTTCATTTTTATAGGTTGTGGCATTGATCTGCCTCACCTATTTTTCGCATTGTTATTGGTCTTTGTTATGTTAACAAAGGCTCAAGTTATCATCCTAGGACAGTATATGGTTATGAAATGTCAGCCAGAAAATGTATTTATTAACAGTGGCTAGTGCGGCATTTCATGTGCAGTATGATAACGGTTCGGTTCTGTTAAAGCTACAGACCAAACTGTCCTATAACAATATTAAACATACATGTATACAGGACTACGAAGTTTTATTAAGAAACGAATATAAAACTATCCCAGATAGATATAATATCGAATTTGAGACTTTAAAAAGTCAGAAATATTTTATTCTTACAACTATAAAACACATACATCGAAATTTCATTCCAACTACTATATTCTTTCAATTATTCTTACGTTAGTTATTATAGTTAAAAAAGAATAGTCAAGAAACACATTTTAAAATAATATAAAGTATTAGTTTTCTTTGAAAAAGATAATTGTTTCTTTTCTTTAAGAAAAGATTTTTTATTATGTGATGGAAATCTGGTCAGACCATTTAAAAGATATTATAGTTTAATGATCTTGGTAAACTAAACCTAGTGAAAATACATTACAGAAAAATAGCTTACACCACTTTGTCAAAAAAGAATGCTAGCTTATTGCAATGATTTGTGAAAATGTGTTGATGTATGACAATAAGTATCAAATATTAAAATTTTATTTATTATACAAAATGACGCACTATATACAAGAAGCTGATTTAAAAGGTTAAAGTGGTGGCATGGCCGAGTGGTGAACAAGTCGCACTAGTAATCAAATGATTGCTTGTATCATAGTTTGGAAACCTTTCTGTTGAAAATGAGTTCAATCGTATACATATACATGCACATTGCGTTAACTGGAGTGCAGGTATTAGTTACCCACAGATTGGCTCATTATTTTCTGGGGTTTACTTATTGTGACGGCCGAGAAATGAATATCGTTCAAAACACTTGGCTACGCCCCCCGCGTACAAATCAGATATTTGCGGCACGGGCTAACAACCCGTCAGGCGCAAGTCGTTGTTTCCTTGGGAAAGAAACTTTACAATCATTTCTCAGTACGCGTTGGTTCCAGGAACTCATTTTCAGTTTGTGTCGATACATTTACAGCTTCCTACACAATCGAATTAAAATATTTTTTATAAACCAAAAGCTTATTACAATTTACAAGATTCGTCCTAAGATTTAGTTTTTGTCTGGATATTTCGATCGATATTACAACTAATATATCGCTATAACCGTATATAAATTTTGTGACCTAAGGAATATTATTAATTTTAAGCTCTTCACTTCACACTTTTTATACTTTTAGTTAAAAATTATCATTGATTGTTTGTTTGTTTATTTGTTTGTTTGTTTGTTTTGTTTTGTTTTGTTTCTTTGATAATAATATTTGATGCATGATACGTTTATATTTAGGTTGAAATGCTTTATAAAGATTATAAGAACAACAAATAAACGCCTATGAAGCGCACTGCATGATAAAGTGTTCTTGTTTTTTTCCCATTTTGATTTGCTTATTCAGTTATTAATTATTAATATGACGATACATCTTTATGTAAATCACTGTCTTATTTATTACAATTGCCTTTTTCATTCGGCCTTAAAATATCCGCCATTCATTCAATTGTTTTATCCTTACTTATTATATGTCTTAAGTAAACCTTACTCTACTCTGTGATATATCTAGATGTTAAATGTGAGTTTACTGAAGCCACTGTACCATAGATACACATGGATAAACGAGCCTTATACTGTATGATAAGAAACAGAAACTTTCCTGAAATAAAACTGTAATATGCCATATTGAATAGTTGTTCAACTGGAAAACATGTTGTTAAATGGTTGGCTATATCAACGATGCTTCTTAAACAAAAGGCATTGCGAGGAATAAGTGTATGCACTTATATTTATATACACGTATACACATATTTGAAATATTTTCATGTATAATATAACTATATGATACAAACGGAATATTATCATCTAATAGCCTGCTATGTATTTTGCTTTGTCCCGAAAAAAAACGATTATACATTTACCCTTTATGTAGTAATCTATTTAATATTAAATTATAATATCATAATATATTATATATGTTATAATTATGACTTATATAGATATAATTCTGATAAGCCAAGATTGCCAATAAGAAGCCAACACACTTTGATATGGATTTTTCGATGGCTTCACCGTGATTGTGATATACTGTTTACAATTTTTTTCATTGTGAAATCTAAATAATACGTTGTTTGGTTACAACTTGTCATTATTGTGCACCAGTAACAAACAATTAAATTGGTATTCAAAAAGTAAACTACCTGCATTCCAAAACAGTCACTTGGGAAATTATATGCGTAAATTCAAGGTGTTTTTTTGATAAATCCTTATAAAACGATCACAGCACATAAAAATATAAACTATAAGTTTTATTAACAATATATGAAAATATGATTAAAAACGCTGTAACCTTCGGGACTTTTCGCCTCCTTTATCAGCTATCTTTTATTATACACACAAATATATTCAAACACAACAAAAAAGTGACGTCACTGAGCGGGCGTTTCCAAGTGCTCTAGTAAAATAGCGGTTACTTTAAGATTGTTTAAGTCTCACTTTATAATGTATATTTGTTTACTATATTTGTGTAATAATTAGAATTTCACCTTTACTTATTCGATTCACTTTATTTGGTGAATCAATTATTTTGTGCTTTCTGTTTTGATTCACTTCATTTGGTTAATTAATTAATCATTTTCGGCTTTCTCAGACGGCTTTCTTCAGGTTTTTGTAACTTATTGAAAGTAAATAAATTTGTTTTATTCTTTCAACACTCAACATACCTGGTGTGTGTTCAAACTTTAATAATCCAACCATTCAGGCACTGAGAGTACGGACCCTAACTTAACTGGAAATTAACAATGCTTACTTATGGGCTAAAGTAATTTGAAATAATAACGGAAAACATAATAATTCTTTTCAGTACTGTTATTTAGTTCTTGTCTGACTTCAGTCAGACGTGAAATGTTAATAGCTATTAATTTAACGAAATTCTCTACAATGCACATGCATATGATGTGGCCAACTTGATTCCTTAATACGCTCATAAACGTTTTTCTAGGAAACATATGCTACGCTGTATGTTCTCTTGTTCAATGAGAAATCTTTGTTGACACAAAACTTCACCTGTAACAAAGAACCAGAATGATTGTTTACCGAGTTATTATCTTTTGAAGTGGAGGAAGTGGGTAATCGTTACCTGAATTATGCTGTTCATTTTTTAAGCTATATCTGAAGAGGTATATGGCTACATGTATACGAAATTCTTTTTTATTTGTTAACAAATAGTGACTTTCAAAACAAACGCCTACCTTTATAACTAACTTACGCTCTTATTACTGAATTACGGATCAATAATTATTGTCTTGAGCATTGTTACTTCCGCTTGCAATTAAGCAGGAGGCCGAGGGTTTGATTCTCAGCCATGGCGTTATCTTTTTTATGCATTTGCATCTTCCTGTTTCGATCAAAATATGTTCATTTGTTCGGCATGCCTGATCCTAGAATTTGATCGAAAACAAAATGGTTTCTGTTTAGTAAGTGAAATAATTTCTGACTTAATACATGTAATATGTCATTCTGTTGAGGGCACACCTACTTCCAAAACTATATGAACAACACCTGACAATGCCTTCAGGGAATCAATTCTTTGGGTCCGTGGTATAAAGAGGATCGTTGTTTTTGCCTGTAAACGGAAGGTCGCAAGTTCGAATCCCAGCTAAGGATGGATATTTTTTCTGATAGATTTACATCTTTCTGTTAGTAACTAAACTGTGCGTAAAATTGTATTAAATATCCATTATACTGAACTGTTCAACACCACACTAAGACTAATAAGCATTGGGCAATTTACCACACAAGAAGAATGAAACTTTAATTTTGTTGGCAGAGACAATTAACACATTTGGTATATTTTACGAACGACTTCACAGTTTAATTACTTTCCTGCGTGATTTTACGTCAATTTAAACTTTAACAAATGGAACGAATTCTTGTAAGATCTGAGAATTATTTGTGATAGATAATCAATACTCAGAGACAAATTTCAAGCTACAGAACTTTCCGTTTAAATATATTACTTTTTTCCCCTCAAGCATTATGTTTAGCATCACTTAATCATTTTCACTTAGCAATACCTTAAAAAGCTTTAAGAACAGAACATATATCGTATTAACAAACAGAGTATACCCTCTGCGTACTACATCAAAATGAAATGAATAAATATAAAGAGTACTATGTAACTCCATATGATTTATATGAATAATTCTTTATAGGGGCGTTCGTTGTCGAGTGGTTAAGGTCGTTAACTTTAAACCACTAGCCTTTTACGCTGATGGTTCGAGCCACGCACGCGCCTCTAAGAAAGCTATTCAGCTAGCTTACGAAACGTCGGTGGTTTTACACAGGTGCCCGTTTGTGCCTTTAAAAAGCACACAGGGACACATGAGGTCTTCCTGGAATGTCGCCTCGTCACCTGTACTGTGTTGGCGAGAGTAAAAATCCAATAAAAGAAATATAATTAAAAAAGAAAGATAATACTGGCCTAATCATTTCCTTAACATGTTAAGTGAGAATGGAATATACAAACATACACAAAATGTAAAACATAAATGTAATTGCACGACAGAATACAGAATAAGGGAAAAGAGGTATCTCGCTATCATACGTAATCCCTTTATTGTAAGACCATATAATCCAACAACCATACACAGCAAATTGCATAAAAAAAATATTTATCTTAATATGCACATTATAAATGGTAAAAGCTTCAGAATCTTATGATAGATGTTCGAAAGAAGTCTTACATAGAATATTACTGTTATAAAGCCCACCCATTAATAAAAATTGCTTGTGAACAGAACAAATGTTCAGAAACAACATCAATGTACGTGTATTATGCTGCAATTTAAGGAAAATGTTTGAACCGTTTGGTGTTACGTCCACACATACACAATTTGCTCTAAAAGAAATACCGATATACAAATGAGCCGCGTCATGACAAAACCAACACAGTGCATTTGCGACCAGCATGGATCCAGACCAGCCTGCACACCCGCGCAGTCTGATGAGGATCCATGCTGTTTGCTATCAGTTTCTCTACTTGTAATAGGGTTGGAAAGCGAACAGCATGGATCCTGGTCAGACTGTGCATCCGCGCTGGCTGGTCTGGATCCATGCTGGTCGCAAACCCATTATGTTGGTTTTGTCGTGACGCGGCTCAAAACTAGTTCTTTCATACTGGTATGTTGGAATTAATTATACATTATACTTTAATTTTTAAACATTAAACTGAACAAGAAGAAATGTGTTTGCATGCTTAAAAACTCTGATTCTATTTTATCAAAGCGGTATAGTTATACGACACTGAATGAGAAAATGGAAATTTTGTGAAACAAACAAACAAACAAACAAACAAACACTATATCTCACATATCGAATACAGACGAGATTGGGTCCAATATGAACAGTAAATTGTATAATGTCAGAGGGTTTACTAGCTGCTTTTTTGTATGAAATAATTTCTAAGCACACATTACATGAAAAACAATATTTTTCCGACTGACAGCTCTAGTTATTCTCTTTCTCCTTCCAACACCCTTGTATGTACCGTGGTGCTGTCTCATAGAACTCGCTAAAGGTAATGACCCCGTCTTCTGAAAAAAATGTTAAATGCAAATTAGCATATGCCGTGAACACAAAAAACTATTTAGATGAGTGTAGAAGCTGTAAGTTTCGTAAAATGTTGGCTGCTTTTTAACAGCAGAATATGCCTCGTAAATAAATACAAGTTTCATTATTTAGAAGGGCAAAAATGTGGTTACAGAATATTTAACATGCTAATCATCTGTAAAACCTTTCTATGAATGTCAAATTAGCCGTTATAAAAGTAGCAAATGTAAATAAAATACAAAATACTTCAATATTACATTTTTATTTATCAACAAATGCAACAGAAGCGAATGATTGTTCGGGTTATGGGCCATTGATTATCATTTTGTATAACATAAAAGGACATAAACAAAGTTCTAAAGTATTTCAGTCATAACAACATAAGCATACCTTTGGCATAATAGGCCTTTTACATATGCCATAAATCTGTCAGAGCTACTTTAATACATGAATACTCATTACTTCATTGGAAAACTGAATAAAGTTGTATAAAATAGTAATGAAAATATACGATCTGATCTTCTCAACAAACCAACCTTTATTGTTATCCATGCCCTGGAAGAGACGTTGGCTCAAATCATGTCTTTTGAAGATAGCTATAAGCTCCATCTTTGTAATCTCTCCATTACCGTCGCTATCATAAGTGTGGAAGTCACATGCATCACCAATGATTTCAATCGTGTTTTCCTGAAGCAAATTAATTGAATTTAATATGCATTGCATTAATCGTCATTTTAGTGCTAAAAAAATGTCTTAAGAGTATTGTATGGCATTTGACCGATGTATTTACCTAATTTTGTAGCTGCAAAAAAATGTGAGAAGATATAGAGGATATTTATTTGTTTGTGTGTAAGTTGAAATTTTATTTCATCGAGTGGGATTTAAAAACAGTATTCTCACGAGTTGCTTACACATTACACAACAAACAAACAAATGTTGTTTTTATTTTATGCTTAAAAAACAAGTTAAAACGAAATTTTCTTAACATTAACTTTAATATTAAAATCTGTTTTCCCGACTGGTAGCCTCTATTAGTCGAATTTCTCATGAAAAACAAGAAGTCTTGGTCTGAAAAATAAGTTTGACAATCAACGATTGAGTGTGATATATTCATTTTAATAAAAAAAAAAACATGAATGATCGCTTGTTTTAATAATATAAACAATAAATTCTAGTAGACAAAATGTCACACCATCCATCTATATTTCCATATTTATATTAGACCAGGCTTTGTGTAATATAAACGGCCGCCATTTTAAAAAATTGGGTACTTCACGGAAGGAAAATAATTGTGTTTGATTCAGAGAGATACCATTTGGATTTGTTAGTCATAAATCAATTTAAGTATTACATGGGGAAAAACTTAAAAAATAGTTTCGTCATTATATTTTGATAATTTTAACTGTGAAATTATTAAATATAATTTTACGGATAAATCAGTAATCCACCGAAAAGCATAAAATAAGATGCTCTTACCCTCACACTTCTCTTCACTGGTAGGTTTTGTATCTCTGTACATATACATTTATCTTTATATAAATGACAAATCACTTTCGCCCATGATGGTACTTTTGCAGTGTTAGCATGGTAAGGTCGTGGTCTGGAAGACTTCTCACAACACATACAATGTGAGTAAATCATTGTAAATGTTATTAACCAACCTAATATCTTCTGAAATGAGATTTAATGCACACACATAACATAATTGCGATGAATATTATTATATGCAATTATGTGAGATCTCAAGGTATTTAATTGTGATCATATAAACTGTCTATTTTAACATAATATAATTCTTACAAATCGAAACATTTATAAACAGTTGTATGAAAGTAAAATGTAAAAACATTCCTTTAAATACATATTTTGCAGCTTTGTTAAATTAATGTTTTTGTATCAATTTTAGCGAATAAATCAAGATGAAACAAGACCAAGATAGAGCAAGAGCGAACTAAAATTTTATATTAATTTTTATTTTATAAAATGACTTTCAAATTATATATATACGGCTTATTCTGAATCGAACAAACAAAATATTTTATCCATTTTAAATTTTTTAATTATTAACCAAATTATTCCAAAATAAAACGATAAACTTACCATGTTTCTTTTCTTAGTTCTCTGTAAGCAATGCAGACTTTACGCGCCAAAATAACGTTTTAATATACATAGTTATATGACACAGTGACATAATTATTTATTTAAAAATATAAATTTTCCTTTTTTATCTAACCTGATTATCCTTCTTCCTGATCTTAAACTTTTAGCGCAGTTTCAGCTGTCCTCGGTTTTACTTCCTTACTAAAACAATGTTGGTTATTAAAATTTTATGAACAATTTATCATTATTAAAATTATACACTCTTATACGTTTTTAAAGATGAAACGTTCACAACAATGAAAATGAATTTCATGAACAGACGAATAAACGAACGAACGTACTGAGCGAACATGTCTTCGAAAGAAATAATGAAAGAAAGAAAATTAACAAATAAGCGAATGAATAAAAAATATAATAATAAAATGAACGAATGAATGAATGAATGAATGAATGAATGAATGAATGAATGAATGAATGAATGAATGAATGAATGAATGAATGAATGAATGAACAGCGTGACACTGTCAGAATTGTCAGCAACAATAAAATTGAGGTACTACATTGGGAAAATCTCAAAAATGTAGTTTTGTCATTGAAGAGTGTGAAATTATATTTTGATAATTTATTTTCTGCTTAAGAGCTGACCAATGATTATAATGCTTTAAATGTTATTTGAACAATCATGATTAAATCATGCATAGAATAAATATCTAATTTAAAGCTGATCTCAAATTATGTATCTTTAATTGACATATCTTCAAATCATTGTATGAGAAAAGGCATGTGCATTTATTATACACTTCCGTTTCTAATTGAAAGAGAATGACATTTAGTTTACTGTGTCAATCTAACACTTGTTAAGACATGCAATTTACTGTTAATGCTCCTTTTCACTTTACTTAAGAACATAAAGTTCACACTCTAAATGTAGTTTAGACACTTGACACCTAAACACTTGACATTGCTAATTATCCTTCTTCTTGATTTGAAGGGAACCAATGAGACTTATGCTATAATATCCGACATTTTCGGTGTTTCTCGATTGTAAAGTAGCTTTCTGTTTTTTTAAAGAAAATAGGTCAATTATTTGTTATACTAGTACCATATATAGTCTATTCTTTGTGACCTATTTGTTTGAACAAGATAAGTAGGTTTGAACAGATTTACAACGTGAAGTGTATAACAAACATTTAATGATGTAAATTCATGCAGTTAGTTTGAGCTACTGCATGATATTGCTGCAATACATTTCCGGTATACATGATTATGTTATTGAATTTAATGATACAATAGAAATATATCTTTTTATCTGTTAAAAGTAGAAAACTGATTTCGTGCTCTCAAAATCTGAGATATTTTACTATTTTAATAATATTTAAACCTTATAACTGCTGTAAATCACAAGCTTACAAATTTGGACATAATTATCCACGCATACATTCGGATATGAAGAATTAAACTTTAAAAAAAAAAGTTAATTTTTAAGTTACATGTATTTTACTTTTAAATTACATTTTCAAACGTTTTAATAAACTAGCATGATTCTGAAGGCATGCTGCTTTAAACCCACGCAAAGTTGTAGAAAATGTTTTGCACTTTAAACATTTATTCTGGCTTAAAAGTAAAATATAGCACTGTAAGAAATATAAAGGCACGATGTGTATAGAAGATTCAATTCGACAATACTAAACTAAGCAGTGTAATAACAAGTGTTCATATAATCAAATAGTGAATGTTATAAATAAATGATCTCATTAAAAATGCTATATTTATGTTTTACAAAACATTTGTCGTACTATGTTTGCTTATAATTCCAATACAATTCAATCTCCAGTGTTAAGGTAATTCATGTTTGGCATGTTTTGTGCTATTTTTATTACAAATTAAACTTATTAATATGAACTAACAACGATCAAGTAAAAGTTTTCTTGAACCGTTTACTGCACAAGTTATGAATTTATTTTCTCTGAAGCTGTATTTAGTTGTGAATGCCGTATTTGGAATTTGTATGTTTGTTTCTTACATCAGACAAGATATACACTTGATAAGCTTTATGAATTAAGTTGTTCATGTAATATTCACAGATACGGTAGGGGAAGATTCATTGATGGGATATTTAATGTTAGGCTTCTTGAGCATTGAATTTAATGAATATGTTTGTACACGATGTGTTTAAGAATTGACAACGTTGTCAAATTGATGGTTGTTAAATTTTGCTGTTTGCCGCCAGGGTCACAGTTATTATAGAAATGAATATTTACCTCATATTATGTTGAAGGAAAATATCTGTTGAAATGGTTGTAAATTATTTTCTCTTATTAAAGCTTATAAAGAACATTTGATGTAATACTTGAGACAACCATGATCAATTTTAGATATTAAGATATTTGAAAATAAGAACAATACAATTTGTTTTTGTTTTTTCTAATAAATTTGTATCATAGCAAAGCTTTGTTGTTTTCTCAGGTCTTGTTATATTTGCAAGCCTGAAAGTTCAAGAGCTCATATCGTCAGTAAATACGAAAAAGACAGATTGTGTTGACATAGAACTTATACGGTGGCCAACCATTTAAAGACTTGTTTATCTAAATATCAAACTATCTCAATTATAGCTTGTACTTCAAGTTATAGTTATAGTTTATAGTTTTAAAGGACTACCATTAATATGATAAAAATATGCCTAAGCAATTTATGAACAATGTCAATCATGAAAGACATTTTGAACGAATATAAAAACATTTGACGGTTGAATGATCGATTTTATACGAGATAACCATGACAAAATGTGTCATAAATGTAAAGTGCCCCTTCGTTCATTTTGCAAACATATGTAAACTCATAAAAAGTTCGACACATGCGTTTATATTGAACTTTTAAATAAGATGATACTAATTATCAAAAAGCATGGTCCAGAAATATTGGAGGCTCTTGGCATATAAGGGCATATTTGTTGAACATTTAGGATGAAAAAACATCCTCCGAACTTTGCTTACCTCTCATTGACAAATAAAGTGCGGTGTCTCCAATTTGTGTTATATTGTATACAGATTGTAGAGGATGTTCTAAGAAATTAACAAACTTTTGAAAAATGTTAGATGGCCAACGTGTTAAGTAATTAAAAGATAACAATATGGATAATATCTTCATGTGATATTTGCATTTTCAAAAAATGCGAAACGATTTTCTTACCACAGTACCCGTGTTTACTCCTTAAAAAATGAGATATTCTTGTGTTCTGCTCCTGAGATCTAAACATAAACGAATTGGACCAGACCATTTGTTATCTCGAAGTATAAATGATGGCTATGGTCAGGGATATGATGCTCGTAAATCTGTCTTTATTTGAGAAGACACATTGCTTTGAATCTTTAAAAAAAGATAATTAAGCAATGAAAGATATACCTGTTAAGTTTAAAAGTGATAAGTATGACTTAAATGTGTCACTTTGGAAGCGATTTACAAAATTGTGTCTATCTTTTACTAAACTTTTAAAACTTGACATATCCACTTTTACAAATGTTGAATATATTATTTGAATTGTTTTCAATCTTGTAACCATTCAATCATGACAATTTTGAAGATGATTACATTTTTATTGTAATGCATATTGTATTGACAAACAAATTTTTCATAAGCGAATACCATGCACTTTTGTTTCATGTATGTATTTCTAACCAAGTTATAAAATTCAATTTTACTGTATTTGACAATAATGATATTAAAATAGTTATAAATGTAGGTTTATTTGTATGTTAGAAGGTTTCTCTAGCGGTCAATCGGGACATTTTCAGCTTTGTTATGCTATAACAGAAGAACACACATTAATGACACCCTTGTCAGGAAGGTATTTATATGACAAAGAAAGTGCACAAACAATGACGGTGTGAATGAATTTTCGGAGCGAATTGTATTTATTCATATATAATATATTGATATCTTAACAGTCTCACCAAATCCGATAGACATTGACAAGAATAATGATATTGACTTTAAAATGATATTCAAATGCATACAATCGATTCAATTTTACATAATCATTTAAATTTATAGACAGTTATCCTTTATATTTTAATGACATCGTGATATTGTTCATTCCTCACCATAAGTTCCAATACAATTTGACAAATAAGTATGAAACAAAAACAACATTGCTTTGTTCTGTTTAGAACTAATGTCCTAGATATTCAATAACGTTAATATCAACCTCTCTCCTTCTCAAAATAAAAGCAATAAAACACTCGAGTAATAAACAAGACCGTTCCCAGACTGAGCTATAAAATTTGATAAATTGCGCAAGAAAAAGAAAGAAATTTAAGTGATGTCCAAATAACAATAACGTTAACATTCCTTCTTTAAGTGGATTGCTTTTTTATGTATTTTTTATCCAAAAAAAAAAAGAAAATAAAGAAAGAAAAGCCGATTATTTATTGTCAAAATGTAGATTCATATTTACTTGTCGAAATGTAGATTCACATTTCTCGGCTCTTTTGAAAAACTTTGTCTATATGTCGCTGTAAGTGTATTTTAAATGCAAATGTATTGACAGGACATACTTTTTATGCATCTGTTAATCAGAAAATGAGAAAAGCATTGTCAGATGTTCCTTGCAATAAATAATACCATTCCTCAAACATTGATAAGGATACTTAACAAAATATCGCAATCATATTTAATATTGCATTTAAAACCAGAGCGTTCATATATGTTTATACATTAAAATGCTTTAATTGTTTGTATGCTACAGATATATCACATGACATGTTTACTATTCATTAGAGAATGTGTTAAATTCAACATTTTTATTACACAAATGAGCAGCGTCATGACAAAACCAACATAGTGCGTTTGCGACCAGCATGGATCCAGACCAGCCTGCGCATCCGCGCAGTCTGGTCAGGATCCATGCTGTTCGCTTACATACTCTAAAATAATTACAGAAACAGAAAGCGAACAGCGTGGATCCTGATCAGACTGCGCGAATGCGCATGCTGGTCTGGATCCATGCTGGTCGCAAACGCACTATGTTGGTTTTGTCGCGACGCGGCTCAAATTTTGACGCCTATCATTGTAGCACA